AGATTGCTGCTATTAAATATTTCCGAAAGCTTTCACTTCCCTTATTACTATTAATTGTATACCTGGGCGTCGTTGCATAAAACTTATCATTGATGGTTATTTTGCCATCAATGGCAACTACAATGGTAACAGGGCTTAACAGCCAATCAAAATCAAGGTTTCCGTGGTAGTTTGATGGTAAGTTTTGTGCAACAGTGCCTAGATCAAAATTCATACTCCATACTCAGTTTGTTAATTTTGTTAATTGATTTCAATAAGATTTATATGACATATCGTCTGTTGAGAGCAGGGAGGGTGTTGGGTCTATGGAATGAATATGAGTTAATGCCCTTCTGTCTCTCACTGAATCTGTGTAATGTTAGCGATCTGTGATTTCTTTTCTATCAATTATCGTTATCAATTTCATTATAAACTTCTCAATTTATAGACAAACCTACCCTAATTACTTCAGATGTTAAATACAATTATTATGAAATTTTGTACTTATGAGCTAACATTAATTTATTTGATGATATGTAATGAAAATATTGTAGCACATTGTTGTTTGTATATTTATGTATCAGATTCTACTGTTTTTAAAACTTTTCGTACATTATTTCTGCCATTGTTAACTATCTGTTTGTGATTTTATTTGTATTTGAAATTGTACCCCAAGTTTTGGTTGCAATTAAGGAATAACTAATTCTTTAAAAAAATATTATTACCCGTACTGTGTATATTTTAACAATAGATGAGCTGTTTTTAGTATTTGTGAATGTGTAGAATGAATGTACGTGTTATGATTAAATTTAATTCTTAATTTCTTATAGATGATTAGCAAATGCTTTTTTGCTTTTACTGGTTATATCATTCAGGTGAAATTTCTTATGGCGGCTGTATGATACATGCTCCAGTGAATCCCATTTGTAACAGTTACGCTAACCCTAAATCTTTGGCAAAATAAATCCTGTAGCAAATGGTCAGGTCACCTCTTACAACATCTTGTGATTCTTGACCCACTTGAGTACTTTGACAAGGTCAATAACCATTTAGAGGTTGCCCAATATGAGCAGGTCTTTAAAAATTCCTTTCCAAATCATTTTTTTCGATGTATGTGTGTGTATATATTCTGATCGACACATTTGCTCCACGTTTAATGGGGATAACATACAAGCGTGTACTAAGATAAGAAAGTACTATTTGGTACACTTCATTAGAATTTTAAATCTACAATCAATACATTCCTGAAAAACTTGATGTCACATTTGCATCATTACTCGTGTAAAATGTAATTATTATCGGATTGGTTTATATCAATATCAATAAATTGGATCGAAGCACAATTTATGTATGGTTTCTTACTAGTCTTCCATATCATACGATATCTATATCATGATTGCACGGTGATAGAGCTCTTCCGTCGTGTTTAGGGAACGAACGCTATTATGGCCGAGAACGGTCATGAAAATCAACAAGACGTAGACAATTCTGGTTCGCGCATGCGCAGATTGATTTTTATTGCTCGCGTTACCGTTGTCTTTGCCTTCCGTCATGTCTGCGAAAGTGCTTCACTTTGTAATCTGGGACATTAATTTAAGAAAACAAAATCAGATTAAACGCTCTATCATGATAACCATCAGTTTTGTGGTAAATCCGAGGTCTTTGACCAAAAATCCAATTTTATCTCCTTACGATAATGCAATTAAGGCTCAAATTCTGTTTACTGTTAAATTAAATGATTCATTAAAAATTATGTTAACCAAAGTACTGCAACACATGGTAAATACAAAAAATGGGGTAAACATCAATAAAAATTGAGAAAGTATCCATATTTTGTTGTAATTTCTTTCATTCATTATAAATTTTAAAAAATGAATATGGTCTGCATCATTCCTTGGGAAAATACTCTCACCACACACATTTTCAGATTTTGTTTACATCACCCCCAAATTCTATTCACTCCATTTCATGCATGGACTAATCTGTGATTTAAATGTACAGTGACCTTTGGCCTTTAACCTTTGAACCACCTTTTCATATTCATATGGTTGTTCTTAACATTACAAGAATAAGGAAGCATATCATTCTCTAACATGGTTGTAGACATTGAGCATAATGTGAGATGATCACCGCCTGGAGTAAAGAAGTTCACCCTAGCGTTATCGGCGTGAACTATCTAAGTAACTAAGTATGTACGAATTTGCCCCCTTCATTAGGATCCATCCGAAATTCATACCCCCCCCCCCTCTCTACACGAACACTAACACACATACAGACAAAACGTCCATATCAAAACGGATATCACCGACTAGCATTAATTTTAAACTCATCATATTTTTATCGAAAAAAATATATAAAGCTATATCAAGAGTGTCATTAAAAAAATAAAATTAATGGGAGAATGAAATAGATTAAAAAAAATTGACGCATCAATCACATTAGATGTGGGGAGATAGGGATAGACACATACCAACAGACATGATTCCACATTCTATCCGGAATTTTGGTCGGCACGTTTTTCAAATTTTAGGCCCCATCGATCCCCCGCCCCCCTATCGGCAAATCTTGGATCCGCCACTGGTGTCTCCACATCCAATCTACCGAGTCATCAGATATCAACCTAAATACAAACACATTCAATATGCCATATCCCCACATCCAATTAAGTACCAAGACATCAGCTATCAAATGCAATACAAACACAATGTGCCACTTCCCCCATCCAATCTACCGAGTCATCAGCTATCCGATGCAATAGAAACACAGTCACTATGCAATGTCCCCACATTCAATGTACCAAGTCATCACATATGAATTGCAATACAAACACAATCAATGTGCCATGTCCCCCAATCCAATGTATTAAGTCATCAGCTATTAAATGTAATACAAACACATTCAATATGCCATGTCCCCACATCCAATGCACCAAGTCATTAGCTATATCAAATACAATACACATTCAGGAATTCATGTCCGCACATCCAATGTATCAAGTCATCAGCTTTTAAATGCAATACAAACACATTCAATATGCCATGTCCCCACATCCAATGAACCAAGTCATCAGCTATCACATGCAATACACATTCAAGATGTCATGTCACCACATCCAATCTACCGAGTCATCAGCTATCAAATACAATACACATTCAGGAATTCATGTCCGCACATCCAATGTATCAAGTCATCAGCTTTTAAATGCAATACAAACACATTCAATATGCCATGTCCCCACATCCAATGAACCAAGTCATCAGCTATCACATGCAATACACATTCAAGATGTCATGTCACCACATCCAATCTACCGAGTCATCAGCTATCAAATACAATACACATTCAGGAATTCATGTCCGCACATCCAATGTATCAAGTCATCAGCTTTTAAATGCAATACAAACACATTCATTATGCCATGTTCCCACATCCAATGAACCAAGTCATCAGCTATCAAATGCAATAAAAAAAACAATCAATGTGCGATGTCCCCACATCCAATCTACCGAGTCATCAGCTACCGAATGCGATATAAACACAGTCACTGTGCAATGTCCCCACATCACATGTACCAAGTCATCAGCTATCAAATACAATACACATTCAAGATGTCACATCCCTACATCCCATGTATTACGTCATCAGCTACCAAATGCAATACAATTAACACATTAAATATGCCATGTCCCCACATTCAATGTACAAAGTCATCACATATATGAAATGCTATAAAAACACAATCAATGTGCCATGTCCCCACATCCAATGTATTAAAGAGAAATAGAAAGAAAGAGGGAAAGTAAGAAAAAAAACCTGAGCTTCCGCCCTTGATTCCAACCTAGGGCCCTAAGGCGGGCCCCTGGATGCTCATCTGACGGTGATTTACTGCCTATAAACCCCCTGAGCTTCTGAACCCCACCCCCTGGACCCCACACCAATTAGTGTCTTGCCAGTGCCACAAATAAGGTATTAAAAAAAATTTCATCTGACGGTAATTCTATGCCTAAAACCCCTGAGCTTCCAGGGGTTCAGGCCCCTGGTACCCACGCCAGTTAGTGACCTACCAGTGTCACAAATAAGGTATTAAAAAAATGTTCATCTGACGGTAATTCTATGCCTAAAACCCCTGAGCTTCCAGGGGCTCAGGCCCCTGGAACCCACGCCAGTTAGTGATCTACCAGTGTCACAAATAAGGTATCAAAATATGCTCATCAGACCTTAATTAAATGCTTAAATCCCCTGAACTTCCGGGATCTGCCCCCTGGACTCACCTAGGGCCCTAGGGCTGGTCCCTAGATGCTCATCTGACGGTAATTTTATGCCTAAAACCCCTGAGCTTCTGGGGGCTCCGCCCTCTGGACCCTACGCCAATGAATGTCCTGCCAGTCTCCCAAAATTAACAAGTTATCAAAATATGCTCATCTGACCGTAAATAAATGCCTAAAACCCATGAGCTTCCGGGGGCTCCTCCACCTCGACCCCAACAGGGGGCCTAAGGCGAGCCCCTGTATGCTTATCTGAGCGTTATAAAATGCCTCAAATCTCTGCCCCCTTGACGCCATGCCAATTAGTGACCTGCCAGTGTCATGATTAAGATATCACAATATATGCTCATATGGCCGTAATTATATGTCCATACCCCCTGAGCTTCTGGGGGCTCTGCCCCTAGACCCTATGCAATTTAGGGTACGCTCTACTTGATCGTAAATACTTAAGGCTCCCCCTACCATTTAAAAAAAAAGTTCAGCGGGGCCTGCATGTAAGAGTGGATTGATACTGATTTTTTGTTTGTCTCCCCCCCCCCCCACTCCCCAAACGTTATTGCTCATTACGTCACTGCTGCATGGTCACCATTACGTACCAATATTTAGCTCGCATAATTTCGGATTTGGGCCCCCCAAGAAATCCTGGATCCGCTGCATGTATTGTGCCATCCAAGTCATCATAATTTGCAGTGTACATGTATTTTGAAGAAGAAAACAAAATTAAAAATATATTCAAATATGACAAAGTGAACGGAATAAAGTTTTCAAATAGTTTTATTTCATTTATATAACAGTACATGAATTTACATATCAACGGCAATGCCTGATCCACTTAAGTCTGAAGTAATTAAACCTCACAAGAACAACTGGCTTTTTCAATAATATTGAATGCACAGGTATCAAATGAATATAACTGAAAAGGTTGGGAGTTGTCACAGAATCTGGTATAAATTCAATCACTATTCGCCAGCGTCTTGTTGACTGTACTGGACTCAAGGGGCACGTTTGAGATGAGCTTCTAGTAACCGAGGCAACTGTCTCATGCACATTTTCTGCCATATCTATCCTCCGTGCCAATTTTTAGAGCTCACATACAAGGTAATTCTTCAAGAACTGGGATTAATAATGTCTGGATGTTTGTTGGAGTTTGAGTTTTCTTGCAACCTTACCAGCAGGTGACATGTATCTTTGGACAGCTTCTGATTACCTAGGAAACTGTCCCAAGCATCTTCTCTGACACATGTATCTTCTATACTGACTATTATCCACCACGTAAACACTAGTCATTCTAGAACTGGGAATAATTCCCTGGTGGAATGGGTTTCAGTACATCCCTGCCAAATGGAAATACACATCCTAGATCAGCTTCAGGTTACCAGGGAAACCATTCCTGGAATATTCTCTACCATTCTTTAAAAGAAAATAATGGTCTGGTGAGAACTGGAATAATTCTGCTATTTGTTCTAAAAGAGGAACATATAGTACATCCTCAAGAAGTGACGGCCAGCAGTAGATGCAGGAATGCACTATAAATGAGCTTTATAGTGAGCTATCACCTTCAATACAATGTGAAACTGCTTTGATAATCCTTCACAAAAGTATTCTTACCAGAAGGGGAAACCTGTTCTGGGGTAAAATCTGGTGCATTCCTACCAATTGAGGGCAGCGCAAATCACTCGTTATGATCCTCAAGATGACAAGACAAAGGCGGATTCTCTCTAGATTTTGGAATAGCAGATGTCTTGCTATTAGTTCTAAAGGAAGGTCTAGTCTCAAAAGTTGAGGGCCAGGACTCATTACTCACAATTGATCCTAAGACGATGTTTGACTCAAAGAGAGACAAGAAAAAGGCACATAATCTGGAATAAGTTTGTCCTTATAGTTTGTTCCAAGTGAGTCCCATCTCAACGATATCAGATGATGGCCAGCAATACTCATCCCAATAACTGGTCCTCCGATGATACCGGTCTTCTGTAACTCCAATCAGCTACCGGCCGACTTGCCGACACCCTTAGGCATCTTCTTGCTTGATGCGTCCTCTAGTTCCTTGGCCTTGTAGTAGTGTGGAGCAGCCTCTAGCAACCAACCGTTCTCTATCTCTATCACCTACATCGTGGAATATGAGGGGAGGATTAGAAAAAGTATATCAGATGCGGACTAAAGAAAAATAAATGTTTAAAGTTGCTCAAGCGAGGGTACAAAGTCGTTCGTGAAGTAGGCAACTTGGAGATCACTCCCGTTCACTACATAACACTGAGCCATTGGGTATTACGCTCCCGTCATACGTCCATGTACTGCCCTCTATATACCCACGCTTGAGCAACTTTAATATACAAGATCAAGTGCCTCTGCAAATGGCCAAGACTTCTAGCGCAACTGTCTATCATGCCTTTGTACTTAATGCATATTTCAGACTTACTCATTTTTATTCACATACATGTTACGTTATGTTTTAGGCACCCATACTACATTTCGTATACTAGTAGTCTTGGGAAAGGCCCAAGGGTTGTAAGAATTCCACATTCCTTTTTTTCACCCAGAAACCTTCAGGAGGTGCAGCAGAAATGAAAGTAGAAGGGGAAAAATTAATTTAAATTGTTATACCTGTCTCATGAACTCCTTAGTTGTAAAGACAAGTTCATAGTAGATGAGCCACCTTGGTTGTTCTTCAAACAGACCTCTATTGGGATGAACCATGACTGTCTGCTGGTGCTTGACTGTCTTGTAGTTACCTCCCTTACTGAAGCGTGCAGTATGGTAGAAGAACCCTGCAGTTACAGCCTGGAATATTCATTCAAAGATCAGAAAGATATTTATTACTATTGCATTCAATAGGAATGTTTCCTCATTATTACAATATCAACATGAATTGTTTTATTTTCATTTGAATGATTATTTAGATATAATTATCATCATCATCGCCATCATTGTCATCATCATCATTACCACCAATACCATCATTAACATCGTCTTCATCATAACTATCATGATCATCATTATGATTACTATCATTTCCACCAGCACCATTAACATCATTATCACCACCATTCATTCAAAGATAGGGAAGGTAGTTATTACAATTGCATTCAATAGGAATATTTCCTCATAATTACGATATCTACATGACTTGTGATATTTTCATTTGAAAGATTATTATGATTGTAATTGTCATCATCATCATTACCACCATTACCATCATCATCATTAACATCGTCATCATCATAACTATCATGATAATCATTATGATTACTATCATTTCCACCAGCACCATTAACATCATCATCATCACCACCATAATCATCAACATATTCCTCCTTCCCCTCATCATTATCATCATCAAATCATCCTTATCATACATGTTGTTATCACCATCATCATCATCATCATCACCATCGTACCATTGCCACTATAAATCATACTAGTACATCTTATTGCAATCTTCTAATTTTCCTTGAAGGGGAGAGGAGGGGAGAGGGGGAACACACTACAAGTACTGATATAAGAATGTCTCTTCATCCTACCTTTCTAATAACGACACTATCCATACCACAGCTCACAATCTCCATCTCAACTCTCTCCATGAGTCCCTGGAGCTGATCACGAACATCCCGCGCCCGTCTCATCGATCGATGCTGGATGAAGTTCTCAAAGCACCACTGAGTTGAGAATCCAGTCTCTACCCACTGTCCAATGAGAAAAAAAATATTGATAATAGTAATAACAATGATGATGATAATGATAAAGAAGATGATGATAAATAATGATAATGATGCTGATGATGCTGATGATGAAGAAAATGATGAAGATGGCAAGGCATTTAATCTACATTGCCACTCTAAACCAAGGTGAGGTACATGAGTACATGTTGGAAGAAATGTGGTGTATGCTTTAGTGCCTTATCGTTATAGGTCAACCAAAGGTGGGTAATAAATCTGAAATCAGTTTATCCAATGGTGTTTTAAATTGATATAATAAAGCTGAATTTGGTAATCTACAATATCTGCATTAAAATCAATTTCAAAATACCATTCAATTACTAGGGAAAAAAGTATTGATGACAATGCTTAAATTGCACCTCGTTCTGTCACTCTGTATCAGCCCAAAACGGCTGTATAATCCAATTCTTGTTATGTAGGGGTATTCCCAAGTTTGATGTGATTCCTGACTGCAGTTTATCATGTAAATTCAGAAGTTTCTCCTCGCACATAAATTTTAGTGGATAACGTTAAAGGGAAAGATGTGTTTTGTTGCAGAGGGCGCTACACAAAAATAATCTTTTGTGAGATAATGAAAATCTGAGCATCAAATTTGAAAGAATATACAATTTAGATGACAAAATCATCTTTGTTTGATCAAAATCGGTTCAGAGACAGCTGAAATATGTATAAATATAACCATTTCTAATATTAATTTTTGACAAATATTTGGTAATTTTGAACCAGCCGTTGAAAAACGAGACAGCGCCTGATACGTATCGCTTCATACGTTTTATTCCAGCCAATGCCAATATTTTGTTTTTTTTGTTGTCTTTTTTGTGTTGGTTATAATACGCACAACAAGCTGGCCCGTATATTGTTATTATTTATTAATTCATTCATTAACGGTCACCGTGTGATTGTATTCAATCTAATTTCACACATTTTGGGGTCTAAAAATACAATTTAAGGTTCTAAAATGTTACCAGAAATGTCATAAATAAGAATAAGAGCAATAACCATACGCTTTGAAAACATTTTTGGTCTTAAATAATTCAATTTGATTCAATTCAATTCAAAAATGGTATTATTATAGCACAAACATGGTTTATACAAATACAATTTTACTTGAAAGACAGTCATGGCTGGAATATTCATGTTTACATGTTAGGCAAAAAAGATAACACTTTTAAAGAAATACATGTAAAAAACTAGCAATATAGGACTTTGATTCTGTAACTAAAAACCATAAACAAATTGCACAAGTTATCAGAAATACAACAAAAAATGAGCTGTTATTGTTTACAAATTTCCTATTATCTCATAAAAGTCAATACAAGCATGGGAAAAGGATTAAAATCGGTATATACATTTAAAACAGCCAACTTGGAGGGGGGGGGGGGAGGAGACAACCACTCAGTATACCTGCAATAACGATAAAAAGTTTTTAAAAATAGTTTTTCAACTTTTGTTGAGTATATCAACTAAAAATGACAGTGGGCTATTTTTACTGGTAAACCTTTTTTGTTTTGAATTGAAATTGCTGATAAATGAGAATACAGCGAAGAAATATATTAGTGTGTTTTTTGTGAGGTAACCAGGTCTGAGAAAAAGAGTGATATGAAAGGGATTTTGCGAATTTTCTACAACGTGCTAGTCTCCTCTCCTCAAGAGTTTGTAAATTTCACAGTTGAATACTATAATAAATGCTTAGCCAGTCGGTTGATTGAATTGAGAAAGAAAGTTTGTTAAACAGGGTGCTTGCTTTATACAAGAATTATCCTTTTTGAATTCGGTTTTGGGGTATGGATGTCAAGAAGAGAATTTAATGAATAGCAGGTACAGTAGTTGAAGGTGCAATAATCGATAATTGATTTTGAAGTTGGGGCCATGACATTTATAATTTTAAAAACTAACAAACAGTAGTGATATTTTAATCTTTGTTCGACCGATTGCCAATTTAAAGCTGTAAGAAGCGTACATTGTTGCGTGTCGTAATCCTTATTTAAAATCAATGTAAAATAGAGGTTTACAAGAGTTTTGTGGGGTATTAGGCGTTTCATACGAAGACTACATCCAATTGAACGAGATATCTTTAGTACTTATATATTTCATATGTTCAGACGTCAATTGTGAATAAAACTCCTAGTTATTTCATTGTTCCGACACACTGTAAGTTTTTACCATTTAATTTAATTGAGAGACGATTGTTCTCCAACTTTCTTTCTGATCCAAAGGACATAGCCATAGTTTTCTGAGGGTGTATATACATCTTAGTTATATCAAACCACTTACATATTAAATCAAAGTCATTCTGTAAATTTTCTTGAACTTCAGAAAAATTATTAGAATTATTAAAAATGACAGTATCGTCACCATAGAGTGATATCTTGGAATTATTATGAAATTTTAAATTATTGATATTATTAATATACAGACAAAAGATCAAGGGGCCAAGAATTGACCCTTGTGGCACCTCAGATTTAACGGTAAAATACTCACTACAATGATTGTTTATAGTAACACAATGTTGTCTACCAATTACGTAAGATTTAAACCATTCATAGAGCTTGTTACTTATGCCATAGAAAATTAGTTTATCAAGTATTATTTTATGTGGAAGAACGTCAAACGATTTCCTAAGATCGTAAAATAAAGTTCCAGTATTCTGATCCGAAGTCATATTATCAAGAAGGTAATCTGTAAATTCGGTAAGACATGTAATTGTGGAATGAAGTGGTCTAAATCAAGACTAACGTTCTGATAATAAATTATTTTGGTTAGGGTAAGAATACAATTGTATATGTACGGCTTTCTCGAGAATTTTTGACAAAGAGGGTAGTATTGAAATGGGTCTGAAATTATCAACACTAAACGTACCTCCCTTGTGTATCGGAGTGAATTTTGCAACCTTGAAATCAAATGGAAATCATGAAGTTTTTAATGATTGATAAAATAATATAGTGAGTGGTTTTGCAATGATATCTGCAGATCATTTGAGTAACTTGAGATGTAGACTGTTCATTCCTATAGTTTTTTTACAATCAATATTGCGTAGTTCATTTCTAACAAGTGCTGATTTGATCTCTTGAAATTCGAAAGAACAATCGGTTTGAAATAAAGTTTGTAAAGAATTGAAATTGACATCCACTATGCTAGGTCATGTACCAGTTTGTAGATTTGAACCCACATTATTAAAAGTTTCATTTAATAAACTTGCCACCTTTACTTTGTCAGTCATTATTTCATCATCAATTAAGATTGTGTTGTTTACCTCCTTTTGCAAGACTCTTTTCAAAACCTTCTAATTTTTGCTCAAATCATTTCTGCATTCTGAGAACTCGTTTTGGTAATACTCTTTTCTAAGGTTTTTGTTTAGGTTATTTGCTTTGTTTCTATAATACTTGAACTTTTCACAGCAACAATCACACTTTGTCTTTTTATACCTTTTCTTAATAATCGTCGGTGGGGTGACAAAACCTCGTATCTCAAAAATCATGAATTTTCAGGAGAGCGTAAAAACATTTCCTGTCTCAACAAACTTAGTGCTGTGACACCGTCCTTTGTGTGGAATTTGTGAAAAAACCGAGACAGGAGGTGTTCCATTGATTTATCAGGTGGTGTCGTAGGCCACTAGGTACACAATTATGCAAAAAAAATCAAAATCTCAAAAAATTGAGATATGAGGTTTTGTCACCCCACCGACGTTATAGTAATCATGGTCACGTGCGAAAGTAATATATTCATCTGTAATCCAAGGCAGCCCATTTCGTTTTCTTCTGACAGAAATAAAAGGTGCATGTTTATTACTTAATATTGTAAACACAGATTTGATATGAGACCACATTTTATCAACTTCAACATTTTCTTCATTAAAGTCAGCCCAATTTTGATTATTTTCAAGTCGTCTTAAAATTTGCTTTCGTTAAAGTTTCGAAAAGAGCGAATTTACATATTTTCGAATGAAGCATTGGATTTTTGCCTTTTAGGCCTAGAAATATTAAACAGTGGTCACTCAAACCAATGGACATTACACCAGACTTCAAGTTAGCAATAGAATTTGAGGTAAGTATTAGATCAATGAGTGTACTACTATGACGTGTAACTCTTGTAGGCTCATTGATTAACTAATTAAGCTGGCAAATACGACAAATACCCTTAATATTTTTAAACAATGTATTATCATTTCTCATATTACAGTTGAAATCACCCAGCAAAACAATACTATTTGACAATAACATTACTTTGAAGGATGGTAAAAATGAACCTGGGCAGGAGGGTTTTTTGTATAAAATAAAATACCAACAAAAATGTTAGTTTATACATTGCACATAGTGTAGCCCGCCTCGACCCTTTAAATGAAGAGAAAAGACAGACACGTGTTATTTCTTGGTAAAAGTAACAGTAGAATCCTTTTATTTAAACAAATAATCAAACACATGAGTGTATACAAAATAATAATATATATATGTTGCGATTCAACATATATATCAAGATACTGTAACCCCGAGGTTATTCAGTCTCCTATAATAAACTTAACATTGATAACACAATGTATTAACGAGTTCCTATTTACATCTACATAATCATTAATACAGTTTCATTATCGAATCGAATAAACACTAACCTAGTAACATACCGATAATGGTATAATACCCTCTAACTCTAAAGGTATTATGAACTTCATTGTATACCTAGAAAATATCATCAAAATGCCTATCTATTATCCTCTCAGATTTATAGAAATATAATATAAACATAGATCTATGTTGTATCCTTCAAGCTAGCACACAGCACATATATTCTCAGGTGTAACTATCGTTTTAGGAAAACGAGCTTATCAATCATTACTGCTATCTGCATGATTCACCTATTAATGCACTATTATTATGCTTAGACTACCCAGGATATGACATAGAAACAGAGAAGAATAATCATGAACTATATACAAGACAAGAAATATAGACTAAAGAATATTGATTGTCTCTAAGAAATCTGATAACTTCCACTTATACAATATACAGCGAAACATGTTGTACTAAGCCAATCGATATCCTAAACATCAATCTTTAAATATAAATACAATTATGGGATATTTATGTACAGGTTTATTCTATTGAAAACTACCAATTAACTATGGTTAAGACAATCCCTTGTGCTAGGCAAATGCAAACTCTTCAGTGTTTCCAACTTCTACTCTGAGCTCTTAAGCAAACATGCCTCCTAACACTAATTCCCTTGTCCTAGCCCAATGGAGAGTGTAATAGCTTACAACACAGCGTGAACAAGAATACTGGGAAAGGGAGAAAGAGAGAGAGAGAGAGAGAGAGGTGGGGGGGGGGGGGAGAGATAGAGTATCTGTGAGAGAGAGAGAGAGAGAGAGAGAGAGAGAGAGAGAGAGAGAGAGGAAGAGAGAGTGTGTTCCTCTACCAAGGGAGAGGGTTAACCTCTACACAGAGTGAACAAAGAGAGATAAGGGAGGGATGGAAGAGGGGGAAGATCTACTACACATGGCATACAGTGTATGTATTATACTCTGTTGTCTCAACACTATGTATCTACACTTGATCATACATATTAACTCAATGGCACTGTTGCAAAGTATATACACTATTCACCTAATTTGCAATTAGAGTAAGTTCTGAAAGATATATTGTAAACCTGGAAAGTACCATTGGTGATATAACATTTATCTTTTCTTTATCAACTCTAAACAAACTCTTATTCTATCTACATGCTCCAATACTAAACTGGGGATAAACTTCCATAAGAATGTATAACAGGTCTGTACTTCATTCTATGAGAACCTTACAGACATAAACATTCAAAGTTTATGATTTTACCTACTATTCTTTGCATCAGAAAGTTCAAACCACAATGGAACTACATAATGTTCAATTAATAATACTCTTCCAATGTACTTCTTTTCTGGCATAGAAATCACAATCAATCAACATCATTCTTCAGCAATTAATACTTCTTAGAACTTCTTCTACATCATATAGTCACACACATAATCAATAACTTTTAACTGGTATTAGTTGATATTCAACATCCAATCACACTCAACAATTCAATGATTATAATAACTTGAAAGATGAACCAAGCTTACCTTTAAATGAAGAGAAAAGACATACACGTGTTATTTCTTGGTAAAAGTAACAGTAGAATGCCCTTCTCACAAAGTGTGGTCAAACTCCTGCAGTATCTGGACTCTTCGATTATGTTACAGGGGTAACCATCATTACCAGTAGAGGGACTGCCAGGTGCGCTAATTAAAGGCCTGTATGTACCTTTGTGTACTTTGTGGGCCTGCCCACAATAGTAGAGTCATTAATGGAAAGAACTTCAGGAGAAGCAGGATTTTTCATGAAAGTAACCTGCAGGGTAAAACACTTCGAAGGATTGAGTGACATATTGTTTGATTGTGACCAGTATTGCACAGAGTTAAAGTATGGGTTGTAATTGTGAAACGTCTATTGATTTACGACATTTTACTAAAGATAAATCATCGACCTATTTGAAGTTATGTATAGGAATATCTTCACATAAATCCTTAACTGTAGTTAAAAAAAGAACTCAACAATCCCTTAAACTGCATGTGTTATTGTCTTAAGCATTTTGGATTACGAAAGTGAAACATCGTGGGGCAGCCAATATTACATATTCCTTTTTTGTTAACAAAATTAAAAATTAATTTTACATGAACACTTCCTCCAACAAAGACCGCAATCATTTTGTATTTCAAGAGGTAGGATAATAAATTTCAGGTGGACGGAACAAAGTTGTTGTGTGTATGGCTCTGATCTAGTGACTGTGTACACTATTGATCAGCTTCTTTTTAGGTTAATCGTTAACTTTGTGATAGTTTTACATTTACTCATCAAATGTGTTTCGGCTTTAATTTGGTTCAGTCATCACTATCTGGATACTGACAATGCTAATTCATCTGGGATATGGATATTCTCATTGCAAGAAGGTGAAATCTTCGAAATCTTGAAGGGAACGTCATCTGCAGTTGGGGCCTCAAACAGATTACAATCTTACTATGGTGATCATGTGTAAGTCACTCATTCACAGAAACATACTGGCCATAAGGTGAACAATTGATAGAAATATTTCACTGTTGTGAAAGGAGCAGAAGAGATATTTTGGTTAGTGGAATTTAAACATCTCCAAGGGAATTTCTTCTGTAGTAGTGACACCCAAGAAATCAATATGTTCAAGTCAAGGATGACTTGCACGACCTCAAGGATTCCTCTCTACTTGTGGATTGCATGTGTTTTATCATTGTTTTCTGGAGCATTGCCTGGGAATGACATAGCGGAAAAGGATGTAAACTGGAGCTCTGTCTCCCCGAGTGGATGCCAGCTTACGAATACCACCCTCGGTACCACAGCTATCTGTACTAACCTGGGTCTTCGGTCCGTTCCACAAGATCTTCTAAGCAACACAACAGTACTTGATCTCTCCATCAATGGGATAGTAACCCTGTACAATGAGTCTTTCTCCTATCTCCCAGACATCATCACACTTGCACTCCGAAGAAATCAACTCTCAGTGATAGAAGACGGTGCCTTTAGGCATTTGGGTAATCTCACAAAATTAATCCTAGAGAGAAACCATCTAATGTCTCTTCCAGCAGGTTTACTAATTAGTTCAAATAGACTTCTCTCGGGGCTCCTCCTTGGAAGAAACAAGTTGAGTTCTATTCCTACAAATGCTTTGCCGTGGTCTGATAATATCACTTTGTTTGATCTGACCAACAATAACATCTCCTTCATAAAACCCTCAGACTTCACACCCCTTCAGAACTGCTCATCGATACGACTACATCTAGGAACCAATGCACTAAAAAGTCTTCCGTTAAATGCATTCTCAGCTTTGAAGAAAGTCAACAAGTTGACTCTTTCAAAGAATACCTTTCAGGAATTTCATATCTCTTCTATTCTAGCAAACAATGAAATTGAGGCACTGTTTTTGGCAGGATGCAAAATACATCGTATAATTCCACTGAACCAAACTCATAACTATCTTGATGGTTCCCCTAAGATATATTTCATGAATCTCAAATTTAACAGGCTGAGCTCCCTCCCGGATTATGTGTTTTGGGGTTTGAATCAGACAAGTATTTTAATACTTAAGTACAATCAAATAAATATTTTATCAAACATGACTTTTTGTGGACTAGACCAGCTAGTTGAATTAGATCTGTCCGATAATAGCTTAACATCCTTACCCCTAGGCATGTTTTCCTGCAATAAAATGTTACAGCGATTGATGCTTGTTGGAAATAAAATTGCAAGCTGGTCCATTGGTATATTATCTAATCTATCCTCTCTGATTCACCTCAACCTGGCTCGTAACAATATTAAGGATATTGAGAGAAGCACCAACATGACATTTCCTTCCCTGGAATATCTGGATCTTTCTTTCAACAAATTCACAAAGATCAAGAGGTATCTTCTATGGGGTTTCCCTACTCTCAAAATACTAAACATGTCCCACAATGAAATTCAAAATTACTATTCTCCAAAAGCCTTCATGAATCTGAAGAACCTCAAAGAGCTTTACCTCACCAATGAACCTCAACAAATCATTGATGGAGCTTTCCGTTACATGGATGCTCTTTGCATATTAGATTTATCAGTTACACGGGCCGTTATTCATTCGAAACTCCAATTTACAAATACTACATCTCTCGTGAAACTGGCTATGCGTGAAAATGGTTTGATGAGCACAGATTTATTTGATACCAAGTCCTCTAAATCACTCTTTTCTGGACTTAGATCATTGGTCAGGCTGGACTTAAAAGGGAATAACCTAGATATTTTAGCACCAGGAACTTTCAACCCCCTGAAGCGACTCGAAATACTACTCCTCTCTCAGTCATCTATTAAAGTCCTAATTCCCAGTGTTTTTGACAGTCTGACTTCTCTCACAAAATTGGATCTTAGTGACAATGAGATCTCGGCAATTCCTGGAGATTTACTTCAAAGTCAGCCCAGGCTTGGAGTCTTCTACATAACCAATAACAAACTTGATTCGATTCCCAAGACTCTATTCAATAAAACCCCATCTCTTAACCACCTGTACATGCAACGTAACATAATCACCACAATAGAACCTGGAACAGTGTTTCCTACAAACAAGACGATGAGTATACACGCATCCGGAAACCCTTTCTCCTGTACATGCGACTTGAGTTGGTTTGTGGGGTGGCTACGTTCAGGCAATATCGAACTCATCCATCCTGATGACACACTTTGCTCGCTCTCTTCCATCAACGACATGGTGCAATCGCCAATCCTTTCATTTCATCCTGATCAATACTGTGGCATTAATATCCTCATCATCACAGGTGTGTCCTTCTCCGCTGTTCTGGTAGCCATCCTGTGCTTGGTGGCATATCGTAAACGTTGGTGGCTCAACTACAAGCTCTTCCTCCTTAAACTAGCCATCTTTGGCTATGAGGAAATCAACCAAGACTTTGATGCCCAGGACTACGAGTACCAGCTCAACCTGATGTACGATGAGGATGACCAGGAATGGGTGGACCAGATCATGAAGCCAGTCCTGCAGGAGAGGTTTCAACATCTCCAGAAAGTGGCCTTCGGCGATAACGACCTCAACATTGAGATGTTCTACATCCCAGCTCTCCACTACGTTGTTGAGAACAGCTTCAAGACTGTCCTCTTAATAAGCAACAACTCTGTGGATGAAGCCTGGTTTATGACCAAGCTACGCATAGCCCTTGAGCACCTCAATGACACCAGACTGGACAAGGTCATACTGATTTTCCTTGAGGACATCCAGGATGATGATCTCCCGTACCTGGTCCGGTTGTTCATGAGTAAGAACAAACCCTACATGCTGTGGACAGAGGATGAAGATGGCCAGGAACTCTTCTGGGCCCAGTTTGAAAAGAGCATGAGAGCCAACAGGGTGATCAAAAGTGTTATTCCTGTTTAACCCGACCGTTACCATTCACCACAAGGCAAACTAATTGTCAACCAACAAACATTAAGAACCTCCAAAACAATATCGGCACATTTGCTTACCGGCAAAGGGCTGAGAACGTACTACATGTGTTACAGTCAATATATGTGCCTTTACAATCCACATTCGCAGTTCCTTTGTCCTTTATGTGTATTGAAGTCCAAGGTATTTCGTCCCTTACGTAACCCATAACATCAACATTTTCAGTACATCAGATGATTCTATCAAGGTGATACCATACTACAGCTTGGATCAGACCAGAAAACAAGGAAAATTGCACTTGCGTTGTGACTTTTTTCTTCTTTTCTGCTGCCCATTTTTATTAAACGGCTGGCATTAACTATGTCTACTTTCTTGTGATTCCCAGCACCTATAGTCACAGTAGGAATTAAGTGTATTTAGTATGTTTTTATAAAGACTTTTTCTATATTTATTTTTAAAAAACTACAGAGAGAGTTTTTTGAAAAACAAGCCCTGGAAAATAAAAATGATTGACAGCTATATATACATATTTAAAATGTCATATGGATAGTGAAAAAATGTAAATTAAAGCTGTAAAAATGTAAATTAAAGCTGCTGCAATTTGTAACTGTACATATTTTGTTGTTAGGGCTTTAATGTACAGTTAACAGTTAAATTAATCCATACCCCTTGTAAATTTAATGTTTTTGTTTTTGTTTTTGTAACTCAAGAATGAAAGGTGTACTGGTAAAATTAGGGCATTTGAGGATACTTTTAGATATAAGCTTGATAAATCAGATTATCAAGTAACATAATTTGGGCCAAATCAATTTTCACACACTTGAAAAATCACAGCAATTAAAGCATATGAATAATTTAGTTGTTCACTGTACATATATTATTCATTCTCTGCATCTTGTCAAATTTCCATTTCTGTCCTTTTGTGGGATGTGAAATAAACTATGAATCATGAATTATGAATGTTTTAACAACTGAAGAGATTTTTGATAACCTTTTTGAATTTTGAGAATGAATTTGTTGCTAAATACATGTATGTTTAATTGTACAACTACTACATCTAATAAAGGAGGCATAATAGTACACAGAATACTGTACAAATGGTGAAGATTGTAAATAGATACATATTTTAACAATATAAGAGTTGTTTAAATTTGTCATAATAATGCCTACAACTATACTAGGTAGTGGAAATGTAATAAAGTGCATTTTTAGACTAAGTTGTGGAATGTAAAGAATGTATATGTAGAATATTTCCTGAAGTTTTCACTTCCCTTAAGTACTATTACTTGTATACCAGATTCAAATTCATACTCCATACTCTAGGCTCAGTTTGGTAATTT